CTAAGTTGAATGCACTTAATTAAACAAATGAGTTAATTTTCGGTGCTATAAATATAACTCAAGTTATAATAAGTATTTAAGTTTTGTCGCTCTAGCTCCAATATCCCTCGCTTCAAGTGATAAAAATTCGTTTTGATAAGATATATTTCCTGACCTTCGGCATATTTTGACCAACGACCTTTAGCCAAGCTCATTAATTAATCACCTATTGTGAGGAAGGATTAAAAAGGATTAAAGGAGGTGCGAAGTGTCAAAATAAACGGGCATTCTATGAGTTTGACTAATGGTCGAGGGTCGAGGGTAATAGGTCGAGGGCGAGGGTAGAATGTCGAGGGTCAAAAAAATGTCGAGGGTCGAAAAAAAAATGTCGAGGGTCAATTTTTTGACTCTATGATTTGTTCGCAAATTTTTAGTAACAGAATCAAATACTTACCATTACACGTACGTATCACACTTAATTAACTTGCTTTTGCCCAACGTCAATGTTTTAGCCCTATTATTGAAATTTGCCATGGGTAAGTATGCTTCGCTATTAAACGCAAAGGTCAGTTTGAACAAACAGATATGTTTTATACGCCGATGTATACTAAGTAACGAATAAACCCTAATTTGATCATTATCAACATTATGAAGTTAACTGATCAAATTTCGATCGCTGCAGTCAAAAGGCGCCGCTTCACATGCCATTTGATAAACATAATATAACCCTTTGCGATCTTTGTGCACTCATGATTTCAGCAATCATTACGATCCACAAAAGCGATATATAGTGCTGTATAGCCATGTTTCCCGCATGATCTAGAAACCCACGACTAAACACTAATGTCGTATAAAATAATTTGTAAAGCCGTGATTTTCTAACTATCAGTATTTTCTGCATCGTGGCAAACGTTGACAGACAGCCAATTGTCTTATGTGCATGCCTACGGCAGCAAACATTTTTCGCACAGTCACAGATAATTTTACAACTCATCTGAAATATATATGCGACTGGGGCTTCCTGAGTTAACAGCGAGGCAATACAGTCACATTTTTATCACATCATCAAACTAAATCTTAGGATCAAAGAAAATTGCTATACTTACATCATAACGGTTACTCTCCAAGTACTCAAACACTATATTCTGCACAGTCCTCGAAGACAACCCCAACTGAAAGCCAGCAGCCGAATAAAAACATAGCCCATCATCGCCGGGAGGATTATACGAAATCTTTAGTCCAGCCTCTTCTATTCTGCTCTGAAGTACTTCCATTTCACACAAGTTTTATACCCTACAGCAATGCGGCAACTGAAGACGTTTTTAAGAGAAAGCTCGTCTGCACGTGTATGCGTTAACCAAAGTTTAATCGCAAGTAAGGTTCGAATGACAATTTCTCGCAAGTTTTGATCCAGAACTGAGAGCAAATCCCGACATTCGGGGTGACACTTCGACGTGTCAGTGTTATTTTTCATTTTGCTGCGAATTTGTTGCGCCGATGAGGCATAACTAACCCAGGAAAATATCACTATTAATAAAAATTAATGTTGAAATATTTTCCGGTTTTATATTCCCCAGCCATGCATGGAGTAATATTTGTATTCAAATTCGCGCAGACCGGCGATAGGAGCCATAGGCGCAAGAAATTACAACATGAGCGGAAAATAATCTGTGCGAAAAATGTTTGCTGCCGTAGGCATGCACATAAGACAATTGGCCGTCTGTCAACGTTTGCCACAATGCAGAAAATACTGATAGTTAGAAAATCACGGCTTTACAAATTATTTTATACGACATTAGTGTTTAGTCGTGGGTTTCTAGATCATGCGGGAAACATAGCTATACAGTACTATATATCGCTTTTGTGGATCGTAATGATTGCTGAAATCATGAGTGCACAAAGGTCGCAAAGGGTTATGTTATGTTTATCAAATGGCATGTGAAGCGGCGCCTTTTGACTGCAGCGATCGAAATTTGATCAGTTATTAACTTCATAATGATCAAAATAGGGTTTATTCGTTAGTATACATCGGCG